ATTGCTGATGCTTGGAAGGTTGTCTTGACGGCTGAGCCGGATCACATTGTCATTCATCCAGTCGTTCCTGCCGAATGGCCCAAGAAGACAGCACGAGCCTTTTGGCATTTCTGTGCTGAATTGTGCCGATGGCAAGACGAATGTTTGGTTACTGTGATACATCCAGCTCGCACTGGATTCTTTTCGTCTCAGTGCAGTCGCTCTTTGAAGTGGAGACCGAATCTGAGTTTGGTGACTTTCGAAAACCAGGGGGAACAGTTGCATGGCGAACTTTCGTTCTTGACGAACTTACCTGAGGGATCACTTGATCGTTTGGAGTCGCTCACGGAAGGCTATGACTCTGAAAAGATCTTTGATCCCCGGTTCGCCGTTCTGTTGTCCCACTGTGTTACTCGTCACAGTCATTCAGACCTGCGACAAGGATTTCTGTTTGAAGACATCTTTGAAGATTTCGAAAATGGAGCTCTGTGCTCTCTGTGCTTGCGATTGGAAAGGAATGCTGAAGCATTGTCGGTTCTTCCTTCGTCAGAGGAGTACTCGCTTCTCTCGAACAATTCCAAGGGGAAGCTACCGCAGCTGTTGCATTTCGTCGCACTGCAGAGGTTTGTCACTTCTTCATTGGTTCAAACTCTGACTCGCGTTGACAATCTTCTTCCAGGTACAGAGTTGGAAGTTCACACTACCACTTCGTCAGAAGCCGTTGCATTGAGGCCTATGATAAAGAATGTGAGAGTGCTGACGCTTCCGCACTTGGAGTTTGAGTATTGCAATGTTTACAGGGGGACCTTCGGGAAGACGTTGCCTGTGATCCACCGTCATCCCGATGCGGTAGTGATTCTTTGGAATCCAAGTGATCATGACCATGTCTTCTTTGTGACAATTGCTCAGCTCCTTCCATGTCTTCAGGATATGAAAGCAGACAATTGGTCCATGATTGTGTTTTGGAATGAGGTGAAAGGTCAAGCTGCGCGCCGGGGGCCAGATGTAGGGTTAGACTTTACAGATCAACCTGCGCCTGCTCCTGAGGTACCGCAGCAACCTCCAAATGACGATGATGGCGACTATCCAGGTTATGAGGATCCACATGCAGACATGCCTGTGGA